ATCCTGCTCGCCGACACCAGGGCTGACATGGATCATGTGAAGCGGTCACTTCAGGAACGTCTCAAGTGCAAGGACCTTGGTCCGCTTCAGAACTACCTCGGCATGGCTATCACCCGTGATCGATCCGCCCGCACCATCACCCTCTCCCAGTCCCACTACATCGGCCAGGTCCTGGAGAAGTTCGAAATGGCACAAGCCAAACCAGTCTCCACACCCCTCCCCTTCGGTCACCAGCTTGCGCCACCCACCTCCCCCTCCACCTCCTCCCGGCCCTACGCCGAGCTTGTTGGGTCGCTGATGTACGCGATGATGTGCACTCGTCTCGACCTCGCCTACCCTGTCAGTGTCCTTGCTCGGTTCGTCGGCCCCGGCCGCCACACTGAGGAACACTGGACTGCCGCCAAGCGGGTCCTCCGCTATCTCCGTGGCACCAGAGACCACGCTCTCACGCTGGGTGGATCTTCCCCCCCCCTTCTCTCTGGCTTCAGCGACTCCTCCTGGGCAGACTGCCAGCCAGACCGCCGCTCCTCCCAAGGCTATGGCTTCACCCTCGGCAGCGGCCTCATCAGCTGGCGCTCTACCCGCTCCTCTGCCATCGCCCTCTCCTCCTGTGAAGCTGAGCTCTATGCTGGCACCATGGCCGCCCAGGAGTCCCGCTGGCTCTGCTTCCTCCTGGCTGAGCTTGGTGTTCCCCAGCGCTGCCCCACGCTCTGGTGTGACAATGCCAGCACCATCCATCTCACCCAAGACCCCGTGTTCCACGGTCGCTCCAAACACATTGAGCTCCGCTATTTCTTCATCCGTGAACTCGTCCAACAGAATCTCATTGCCGTTCGTAAGATCGCCGCTGAAGCCAACTTGGCAGATATCTTCACCAAAGCACTCCTTCGCCCTGCGCACTCTGCTCTTCTCCGCCTCATCGGCCTCGCTCCCCCAGGCGCGCCTTGATTCAGGGGTTGCTTCACTCAAGCCTTTCCGCATCTCTGCAGGTTAAGGGGTTGTGTTAGAATCTATCTTCTTGTGTAACCTGCATAGATGTTATAGGTTAGGCTAGAGTTAAGCACCCAAACTCAGTTTGGGTGTACAAACAAGGGTCACCCAGTTTGTAGGTTGGAAACCCAACCTTGGTCCAATTATTGGACCCCATTGGTTGGGTTGGGTAGAATTATTGGTTCACTCCAATAATGTTGGCCCAACTCCAACTTGGCCAACATTATTGGACCCCACCAATAATCCCCCAACCCAACTTCTTGGTTGGGGTCCAATAATGCTCACCTAGGCTAGGATCCAACCCACTCCCTATGTAAACCCCCAATCTCCTCAATTCAATCATCAACTTCTCTTCAAACTATTGTTCTCACAGAGAGAGCGCGTGGAGGAGAGGCTGAGCATGGCGCACGTGTGCAACCATCCTGCCGTGATCCGCGCCTTCGGGGGCAACGGGGGGAGCAGCGCGGGGAAGAGCAGGAGTGGCAGGTGGTGGTGAGCGTGATGGGTGGAGAGGGAGGCGGGGGTTGTTGTGGGCGGGAGGGGGCAGCAGCAGGGGGAAATGCAGCTGGTGTGGCATGACGGTGGGGTGAGGCAAGGAGAGAGACGGAACGGAGGAGCACCACTTTTTGCACCCTGCCTGTCAGGGTGTTTGGGATGCTGGGGCCTTGGTGGATGGGAGGGGATGGGTGCACGCCGCCTTGCTGCATTGCTTCTTGTTCGCTCTAATCTGCCCACTCTGTTTGCTCAAGGACTGAGGCTCGTGTGTGGCTGTGGTGGATGATGCATGTATAGGTTAGAGATGCGGTAGTCCTAGATACGGTAAAAGGGTACCGGTATGTTTAGCTTTATGATGTTACTGTGAAATGTTTACGTTAGAAATTGATGCAACGCTTCTTTTAGAATTATCAAAAGAATCAGAGGAGCCCGGTCCGCAACCATACGGTATAAGGGTCGTGTTATGCAACACCCAAGTGGGGGAGGAGGAGGGGTGAATTCCAGTTGCCTACGCGTGTGCCGTACATCAATGAACCGTAGTCATAGTGGATGCGTGCGTGGGAAACTGAAACTAAACTGGTTGAGCACGCAGAGCACACGAATCCGCGCTGCTGTCGCAGCAGAGGGATGCACCTTTAGAGAGACCGAACAAGCCTAGTTCCTTTACCCCACCCGGCACTGCAGATGAAAGCTGTCCGGCCACCTTTTGAGTCGAGACAAAAGCGGGCCTAGTTCCTCTGCCCAACCAGGCACTGCAGATGGAAGCTGTCTGGGCACCTGGGCGTGACACAGCGCCATGACAGCCCTGACCCCGGCACGTGGCATGCAGAGCACACGAAGCCACGCTGCTGCCGCAGGAGGCGCATGCGGTGGTGCGGGCGGCGCTGGTCCATGGCCTCCACCTGGCGAATGGCATCCTCCAGTGCGCTGATTTCAGAAAGAAGAGTTTCTGCTTGTTGCCGCAGCTGCTCGTTCACTGCTGAGAGCTCCGTCTGAAAGGGAGAGGACGGGGGGGGTGTCGGGGAAGTGTGTATTAGCAAGCGCTGGTCCATGGCCTCCACCTGCCGGATGGCGTCTTCCAGTGCACTGATAGAGGAGGGAAGGGTCTCTGCTTGTTGCCGCAGCTGCTCGTTCACTGCTGAGAGCTCGTTCTGAAGGGAGGAGGAAATGGTGCCAAATGACGTTGTTGGTTCGGTTGTTGGTGCCAAATGATGTTGAGTAGACCCACGACGCATGGGGTGCAGTGCAGACAGTGACTTACAATGTCGGCTGAGAGAGTGTCGCAAGTAGGGTTTAGTTGTTTGTTTTGAACAACGCTTGAGTGGATTCAAGTGACACTCTCCGGCAGTGAGTCACGAGGCACGGGGTGCAGTGCAGACCGTGACTTACGATGTTTGCGGAGAGTGTGGCTTGCAGGGTCTGGTACTGCACGTGACCTGTTTGGATAGCGCCTTGCAACTGGTGCACATGGGACAGGGAGGGATAAGAGGAGGTTGGTGGTGGAGGGGGGTGGGGGGGAAACAGAAATCAATGAAAATTCTTAGAAACCCTCAGAAAATTCGCATTTGTCAGGTGGCATGCACAGCTTGTAAAGGCCACCCACACCTCAAACACACGGCAAGAACCTGCCCAAAGCACCTGCCTTCTCTTCTCTGCTGCTCCCACATTCCCCGCACCCGCACCGCATCACCCACCTCCCTCTCGCGTGTCTTGAGCTACATGATCACCCCCTCCAGCTCCCTCACTCGCACCTCTCGCCCTTGAACCACAAACCCCAACCAGCATGCAATCTCTGATGCACTTCAAAAAACAAACAACAAGCCCCCTTGCAAAGCACACACCTCCCTCTCGCGCGTCTTGAGCTGCATGACCACCCCCTCCAGCTCCCTCACGCGCTCCTCCGCCTCCTCCTTCTCGCGCTGCACGTCCAGCATCTTCGGCCCTGATGTTGCTCTCAGCGCCTCCAGCTCCTTCTTCTCGCGCTCCACCACCGCTATGTGCAGCCGTGCACGTGCCACCTCCTCCGCATGCTGGCGTAAAGGGATGGGGTTAAAGGGGAGGGCAGGAATGGGGGGAGAGTGGGAATGCGGGAGAACCATTGAATAAAGGTGAGTTTGGCCCTCCAGCTTCTTCTTCTCGCGCTCCACTACTGCTATGTGCAGCCGCACGCGTGCTACCTCCTCCGTGTGCTGTTAGAATTGGGTTGGGGAAAGAGGGGAAGAAAAAGGGGGGGGGGGGGGGGTAGAGGGGGGGGGGGAGGGGGGTGGGGTGTTTGAGGGGAAACCGGTGGGTATATGTGACTTCACCCCTCGAGCTCCTTCTTCTCCTGCTCCAACACGCTATGTGCAGCTGCGCCCGCGCCACCTCCTCCAAGTGCTGGTAGGAAGCGAATGGGGGACGAGGGGAGGAGAGGCAGGGGGGGGTGGGGGCCGAGAGCGGGCAGAGGTGGGGGGAAAACCAATCCGTATATGTAATCTGCCCTCCAGCTCCTCTTCTCCCGCTCCACCATGCTATGTGCAGCTGTGCGTGCGCCACCTCCGCCGCGTGCTGGTGGGATGGGATGGGATGGGGGAGGGTGGAGGAAGGGGGAGGAAGGAAGTGGGGAGGGACTGGGAGATGTAGTGATAGGGCTTTTGAGTAGTTTCTGCTGTGGGATAGCAGGAGAGTAGGAGAGAGGAGGGCAGGAGAGAGGAAAGCAGGAGAGAAGGAACCGAGAAAGGAATTGAAAGATAAGAGCGCGCGCTTTTTTTTTTTTTTTTTTTTTTTTTTTTTTTTTTTTTCGAAAATTGCCGAAGTTCAAGCTTTAATCCCTTTGCACCGTGACGACTCGTTTCGCAACTGTACCCTACCGTGTAAAACCTCTAAAAAAGTTCCAACTTTGGCAAAGTTCGACCCCGACCTCACATGCCCTAAGGGGGAAGGGTGGTTTGGAAGGGGAGGGATAATGTCAGTCTGGACTCTGACTGCAGAGAAAAAGCTCTTGCATTCCCTCATTCCCTCGTTCCCTCGTTCCCTCATTCCCTAATCCACCAGCATTCTGCAACCGCACAATCCTTCTTTCCCTGATCTGCACCCAATCCCGCCTTCTACTCCCACAGCTCATTCAACTGCGCACTTCCTCCCCTTTCCCCCCCTACGCATGCTGGCCCTCCTCCCCTTCCCCCTCCCCACCAGTTCGCGCTGCTCTGTCTCCTGGAGGGCCACCTCCCGCGCATCCTCCAGCTGCCCAACATTCAGGCGCCTGAAAACTAGACCTCTCCGCTGCTGCCAGTCATTTCCTACTTCTCTCGTCTCCACATAAACACCACACCCGCTCCCTCTCATCCAGCGCCCCCCCTTCTTTCCAACGCACCAGTTCGCGCTGCTCTGTCTCCCAGCGAGCCACCTCCCATCCCATGCATCCTCCAGCTGCCTCTCTACTGCTGCCAGCCACCCCCATTTCCCCTCATTCGCTCACAACGACCATACCCCCGCGTACTCATCCCAGCCCTTCCCTTCCCCCCTCTCCAACGCACCAATTCGCGCTGCTCTGTCTCGCGGCGAGCCACCTCCCGTGCGTCCTCGAGCTGCCTCTCTGCTGCTGCCAGCCGCTCGCTCGCCTGGTCAAGCTCTGTGTCCTTGCGGTCCTGTCATGGCCACGGGAGGGTGAGAGTGGTGGGAGGGATGTGGCGGGAGGGATGTGGCGGGAGGGATGTGGCGGGAGGGAGAGGAGGGGGAGCGAAAGAGGGGAGTTTTGAGTCCACAGATGATTCTTCCAGCTGCCTCTCAGCTGCTGCTGCCAGCCGCTCACCCGCCTGGTCAAGCTCCGCGCCCTTGTGGTCCTGTGATGGCGATGGGAGGGATGTGGCGGGGGGGAGAGGGAGAGAGGCGGGGGAACGGAGAGCGGCGAGGGTAAGGGAGGGGGAAGGGAGAGAAATGGGGGTGGGAAGGAGTGGGAGACGGGAGAAAGATTGAGAGAGGGGAGGGTAGAGGGAAGGGGATTGGGAGACGGCAGGCGCATGGAGAAACGGGAGTGAGTGACTGGGTCGGGTGCTGTTGGGGTGGGAGAGGAGCAGGGCAGGGAGGGAGAGGTAGATGGAGAGAAAGCGGGAGACGGAGGGATAGGTAGTGTTACAGGGCTTAGATCTCCTAGTGTTACAGTAGAAGATGTGGGAAATAATGTTGAAGTGAAAAGGATGATGAACTAAGAAAAGTAGGGGCATACATAGGTGGAGCCAGAAGGGGGATTGTTGCTAACCTAGGCTAGCATTATTGGTCCCCCCACCAATAAGTAGGGTTGGAAAATTATTGGTGGGGTCCAATAATGTTGGCCAAGTTGGAGTTGGCCCAACATTATTGGAGGGGAGGACCTATAATCTTCCCAACCTTTGGGGTCCAATAATTGGACCAAGGTTGGGTTCCATCCCCCAAACTGAGGTTACCCCTGATTGTACACCCAAAGTAAACTTGGGCGCCTATCTCTAGCCTATCCTATAGCACGTATGCAGCAGGTTACAAGAGGAGAAGATTTCTAACAGAAGAAGCAGGGGCGTGTGGCTGTAGCATGGAATGGCAGCAAGTGACTCACACATGCGCCTGCTCACCCATCCAAAGGGAGGAACTCCTTTCTCACCAGTGCGGCTCGGAGCGAGTCGATCTGCTGCTGCAGCATGGCAGAGCCGTCAGCCACTGCATGGTCCGTGGATGCCTGTAGCACGTGCCGTGCAAGGAGAGGCGAGGGGAGGGAGGGAGGGAGGGAGAGAGGGAGGGAGAGGAAAGGAGAGGAGAGGGGGGACGAGGGTTTGAGACGTCTCAAAGGTCTGCTGCTGCAGCATGGCAGAGCCGTCAGCCACTGCATGGTGCGTGGACGCCTATAGCACATGCCGTGCAAGGAGAGGAGACACCAAACAAGGTGAGGCAAGGAGAGGCGAGGCGAGGCAATGCGAGGCGAGGCGAGGCAAGGCGAGGCGAGGCAAGGCAAGGCGAGGCGAGGCGAGGCAAGGCGAGGTGAGGCGAGAAGATCAGACAGGACATAAGAGGGGTGGAGGGGGGTGGAGAGGAGAGGAGAGAATGGGAGAGGAGAGAAAAGGAAAGAATAGGAGGGGAGAGGAGAGGAGAGGAGAGGAGAGGAGAAGAAAAGATGAGTGAGAGGAGCATGTGAGATGGATTATGTACATGGGGGTGCAAGGGGAGTGCGTTCACATCCAGTGCAGCATGCATGCGTGAGTGAAGCACGCTGTGTCCTCGAGAATTCTCAAAAGTCCTTGAGAGCCTTGTCTTGGCTGAATGAAGTGTGTTATGGGATGAGCTTGAGCTGAACTCCTCCTTCAAGTTCATTCAATGCAAGTCAATGAATGACGACGATGTGGTTGCACATGGAAGGGGAGAAGAGGGTTTGCAGACGATGTGATTGGGTGCAGTGCAGGCAGCAGCAGCAAGGGCTATGGTAGCAGACACAGTGACAGGATGGAGGAGAGGCGCAGCAGGCAGGCATACCAGCACTTGCGCCTCCAGGTCTGCTTGCACTGTTGCGAGCCTGGTCTTGAGATAGTCACACGTCTTCTCACTCTGCACAGCACGCAATGTGAGAAGGGAAGTCAATGCATGTGTAGTGATAGACTCTCTGCCTGCACTGTTGCGAGCCTGGTCTTGAGATAGTCACACATCTTCTCACTCCGCACAGCACGCAATGTGAGAAGGAAGGCAAGTCAATGCGTGAATACATACATGCAGCAACACGAACCCATCAGCCAGAAGACGCAACGCAGTCTGGTGTGAGCCACACCGAGAGTGGGCAAACTGCTAAAACGACAAAAATCAGGACAAGGACGCAGAGGAGCCTCAGATTTTTTGTGTAATCCCCTTCCCTCCCTCCCTCCCACCCTACCCTACTATTCCTCCCTCCGTCCCTTCCCCGTCACCTCATGGACGTCCCCTTCTGTGCGGCGCAGAGCAGCCTCCAGGTCCTCCACCGCTGGTACTTTTTAGGAGCCTAAAAATTAGTCGCAAAGAAGGCCCAAGGTCTCCTACCCTCCATCCTCTCCCCCTTTCACCTCATGGAAGTCCGCTTCAGTGCGGCGCAGAGCAGCCTCCAGGTTCTCCACAGCTGCTGCCTTTGAAGCGCCTGATTGCAGAGCAGGCCCAGGCCTTAGTGTAATCCCCTGTACCCTCCCTGTCCCCCTCCTTCCACTTCCCGCCTCTCACCTCATGGAAGTCCGCTTCAGTGCGGCGCAGAGCAGCCTCCAGGTTCTCCACCGCTGCTGCCTTCTCCTGCACCTGCTGCTGCAGCGCTGCCAGCATGTCACGCGCTGCTGCTGCCTGCCACGAGGGGGAAGAAGAGCAGGGCACAAGGGGACGGTGAATCGGAAGGGAAAGCGCGACGGGGGGAGAGGGGAGAGAGGGAGGGGAGAAACGAAACACGCGGCAGCAGCAAGAGGAATCGACAACACTGCACGGGCCGAAAAAGCCTGGCATTCCTTCGACCAAGCTAAACATTCCCCATATGAGGCGCCTCAAAAACTGCACGGGCCGAAAGCCTGGCATTCCTTCGACCGAGCTGCGTACCGCCTGCCTGTCCCTCGCAGAGCATACAGGGTTTCTTCATACAACAACCAGAACGTAACACTGGCAGCAACTCGGCACTAGAGCCCTCCCTGTCCCGATCCCCGCCAGCCAGCCTTCCTCCCCTCTCCCTCGCTAAACCCCAATCGCCATCCTCCCCTCCGCACCCTTCGTCTCCGAAAACCCCAACCTCCATTCCCCCAACCGCCTCCCTCCTAAACCTCCAGCCGTCACCCCTCCCTCCCCCCTACTCCCTCGTCCAGCGTTCCTGATTTCGCGGAGTGATTTCGAAGAATAATAATAATAATAATAAAAAAGGGTCTCTTATCCCCCACCCCTGGCCCTACCTGCTCCACCTCCTCGATTCTCTTCCACCGTCGCCTGCAGCACCCGCACCTCCTCCTCCTTGACCTCCTTTTGAGGCGCCTAGAAAACCCACCTGATCAAATTCCTCGCGCTTCTCTTCCAATTTTTCCTGCAGCACCTGCATCTCCTCCTCCTTGGCCTCCACCTCCGCCCTCAGCCCCTCCTCCATCTCCCTTGCACACTCCGCCTCCTCCTCCTTGCCCTCATTTTGAGGCACCTAGAAACCCACCTGCTCAACTTCATCGCGCTTCTCTTCCAGTGCCGCCTGCAGCACCTGCATCTCCTCCTCCTTGACCTCCACCTCCGCCCTCAGCCCCTCCTCCCTCTCCCTCGCGCGCTCCACCTCCTCCTCTGCTGCGCGCACTCTCCCCTTCAGCGCCTCTAGCTCCGCCTGTAGCTGCTCCGCCTGCTCCCCTTGCGCCTGCAGCTGCTCCACTCGCCGGTTCGCCTCGTCCTGAAGGTGGAATGAGCGTGAGAAAGACAGGGAGGAAAGGGAGGGAGAGGGGAAGATTGGGACATGACAAAGCTGCCTCTCCAGTTCACTTTGTCTGAACCACATCCTTCAAAACGTTATGAGCTCCTTTACAGTGCATCACGCCCCTCCCTCGCTCTCCCTTGCTGTTCCTCTCTGCTTTAAAGTCCATACATCATGCTCCTCTCTCTGAGTTCCAAGACGTGCCAACCAATGCCTTCACGTACCAGGTCCTGCCTTGCCTTCTGCCTCGTCTCCTCTGCCTTCTCCAGCTGCCTCTGCAACTCTCCCACGCTGCTCTGTGCCTGCCATGCCACCACTCGGATTCAATTGCCACTCATCCCTACTTTCACGTACCAGGTCCTGCCTTGCCTTCTGCCTCGCCTCCTCGGCCTCCTGCAGCTGCCTCTGCAACTCGTCTACGCTGCTCTGCGCCTGCACCACGGATTCCATGCCATGCCACATGCACACAGACACGCACGCACAGCATTGGCAGAAGATAAGCAGAAGATGCAAACTGGATACTCGGCAAAGCAGATAAGCCACGGCAACGATACTCGCCCAGCCCCACATTGTGAAAACTGCGAAGTTCTGCTGACTTGCTTGCACAGGAGGAAATCAATTTCTATTTGATAATTCTGTTGCTTTGCTGTTCCTTTCACACAGGAAGGACTGCACTGCACGGACGGCCCACCTCTTGCTGGATGCGAGCCTTGAAGTCATCTGCATCTGCCACCATGCGCTCTAGGTTGCGCTTTAGGGACTCCACCTGCTTCTCACTCTGTGCACAGCACACGCGGGGAGAGGGAGAAGAGAAGGGGCAGGAGGGCACAGCACGAGGCAAGGGTAGTGGCAAGGAAAGAGGAGAAAGAGCAGGCGTACTGAGCAATCGGTGTAACAGAATAGGTGGCCGTGGGGGATGAAGAGAGGAGAGAACGCACAGGAATATGAGACAGGAGCGATGGGCATGAGAGAGATGTGAGGGAAGAGCGATGCATGTGGAAATATGTGAAGCTGTAACTCTGGTCAGACCCTGATTCAGACGGTCAGAGAGGAAAGCATGGAAATGGCTTCTCGGAAGTTCCTAACAGCTTCTCTGCACTCTCCAGTTTTCCAAAGCACCAGCCAGCTAGTTGACGTCTCCTATTTGCATGTGCCACACTTGCAAAGCTGAAAGGCAAACCAGCACCTACTACTTTCTCACTCGCACCTCATCGTAGCTTCTCTCCCATCGGTCAAACGACTCTTCGTTCTCCTGCAGCTGCCGCCTCTGCTCCTGCACCTGCTGCCGCAACCGCTGCACCTGCTCATGGTGTGAGGATGGTGTGGTGAGGGTGATGTTAAAGGTGATGATGATTGTGATTGAAGTGATATCGATAAACTCGGCGCAACTGGCACCTGGTGGGAGGGCAGGCATGTCCGAGAGGGAGGAGGGACACAAGGCACATGGGTTGGGAAGGGGGAGGGAAAGTGGGGCAGGGCAGGAGTGTGCAGTGATTAAGAGACATGGCACGTGACTTTTGAGTCGACTCAAAAGGCAGGAGTGTGCAGTGATTAAGAGACATGGCACGTGACTTTTGAGTCGACTCAAAAGGCAGGAGTGTGCAGTGATCAAGAGACATGGCACGTGCTGCGAGACAACATTTTCCTACTCCTCCGCGGCATGGCACATGCTGCGAGGCACCACCGCATGCATGCCAAGTACTCTTCTTTCTCACCTGAGAGTGCCTCCCTCCCAGCCACTCCTCCCCCCTCCATTTACCTCATCATCAGCATCAGCAGCATCCCCATTGTCATCTGCCATGCTCAGGCCACCCTTTGCAGCAGATGCTTCCGCAGCAGCAACAGCAGCTGCAGCTGCTGCTGCCTGGCCTCTCTCCTCTGCCTCCACCACAGCAGCCCTGCTGGTATCGAGCTGCTGCTGCAGCTCTCGTCGTTGCTCCTCCAGAGCCGTGATCTGCTGCTGCTGCTCCTGCACCTTCCCCAGCAGGTCCAGGATCGCGCCCTCCTGCTCCTTAACGCGCTCCTCCTGCTCTTTCATGCGCTCCTCTTGGGCCGATCCGCTCGTGTCCCTCTGCTGCTCGTGCTGGTGGTGATGTCGGTTTGGTGTGTGAGCAAATGAGGAGGAATGGGGTACGTGGGGAGAGGGGGAGCGGAGGGACGACACTAAGAGTTATAGCGATGAAGAGAGCGATACTGATACGCTTGTGACTTTCTGCTGCCCATACTTCCAAGTGCAATGCAATATCAGCAGCACTGTGTGTGTTGCAACTCACTCACTGCTCTTCCTGCTGGTGATGTTGGTGAGTGTGCGAACGGAAGAGGTATGAGGAGCGGATAATGCTAGCTTGCCTACGGTGAAACGTGACACACACAACACAAGCAAGCAACTGAACTGACCTGCTGGTCGAATTGCGACCCACTGAATCCTCCCACCACCTCCCAGCCCTCCTCTCCCCTCCTGCTCCCAATGCTGCTCGCCACACTGCCGCTCTTCAGCAGTGCCTCTCTAGCTGCCAGCTGCTTCTCTTTCTCCTCCAGATCCTTCTCCCACTCCACCACCTCCACCTCCCTGTCCTCCACCTCCTGTGCCTTCTCCTCGCTCTCCCTCACTCTCTCATCCGCCTCCCTCACTCGCTCCTCGGCCTCCCTCACTCTCTCCTGCAGCTCCCTGCACCTCTCCTCCTCCTCCTCTCTCAGCCGTTGCTCCAATTCCATTAGCTGCCGCTGTTGCTCCAGGATTGTCACTGTTGACTCCGAAGCTGCTGCTCCTGCCTCCTCCATCCCTCCATCTGCCCCTCCTCCCACACTTTCAACACCAGACAGCGAGGAAGTCTCACTGCAATCGCCCTGCCGGTCCATGTAAGTACAGAGGGGGTGATGAGTGGAGGTTGTGCGTATAAGGGGCAAGAAGACAAACAGGAAGAGAGCGCGGCAGCAAGAGAGTGACTGACCGCCCGTAAACCTTTATTTGTATTCAACTTTCACCGTCTCACACTTTCCTCCTTAACGCTCGACTCATCCTTGAGAAGAATCGCAGTGTGCTACAGCACCCCTCAGCACCCCACCGCTTACCTAGGTGCTTCGCCCCTCTCTTCTCTTCTCTTCGCTCTCTCGCTCACCGTCTGCATGCGGGCAGTGCGGCGCAGGTCCTCCTCCATCTCCTGCATGTAATGTGCTGAAACATTCCACCCCCACTGATCATTCGTCCCTCCCTCTCTCCCTCTCTCTCCCCTCCCTCACCGACTGCATCCGGGCAGTGCGGCGCAGGTCCTCCTCCATTTCCTGCATTTCCTGCAGCACCCCCTAGCATCTCCCACTAGGAGGTTTGCCCCTCTCATCTCTTCTCTCTGTCGCTCACCGTCTGTGAGCGGGCGGTGCGGCGCAGGTCCTCCTCCATCTCCTGCATGTGCTGCAGCACCACCCAGCATTCCACCCCTCACCCCACTAGGTGGATCGCCCCTCACTATTCTCCCGCTCCCTCACCGACTGTGCACGGGCAGTGCGGCGCAGGTCCTCCTCCATCTCCTGCATGTGCTGCAGCAGCTGCGCCTTCTCCTCCTCCAGCCGCTCCCCCTTCATGCGCGTCGCTGCCAGCTGTGCCACATGGGGGGAGAAAACAGAACGGCCGGCGGGGGGGGAGGGGGGGGGGCGGGTGGTGGGGAAGAAAGGCGGGAGGAGGAAGGTAAAAGTGTACCAGCACTGAGGCCATAGCGCCTGCATCACCGACGAACATTCCCCACTCCCCATGCCAGACACCCCCTCCTCCAACTCACGTCTGCAATGAGTTGCAGGCGGGGAACTTGAGAGAGGCGGAGTTTATACAGGGTTCACTGCAAGCGCCCTACCTGCCCCTCCGCCTCCACAAACACTGCAACACCATCATCACCCAACCCACATCCCACACACCACACGCCAGCCAGCCTCCAATCCCTTCTTTCCTTTCCCCTCCCCTTCCCACCCCTCTCTCCCTCTCCCTCACCCCGTTTACCCCCCACCCTCTCTCCCCCTTCTCTTCCCCCCCCTACCCATCCCCCACCCACTCACATCCGCAATGAGTCGCAGGCGGGGCACTTGCGACAGCTGCAGCTTATCCAGGGTGCGTTGCAGGCGCCCCACCTCTCCCTCCACCTCCACCTTCTCCGCCCTCACAACAACACCACCATCACCCAACCTCATTCCTCACACAACACGCCGGCCTCAAACCCCCTCCCTCCTTCCCCCTCCCTTGCCCCCCTCACTCTGCTACCCCGCTCTCCATCTTCCCTCTCCCAGCTTTCCCCCTCTCCTCCCTCTCTCCCTCCCCCCCCCCCCACCCACTCACATCGGCAATGAGTCGCAGGCGGGGCACTTGCGAGAGGCGGAGTTTATCCAGGGTGCGTTGCAGGCGCCCCACCTGCCCCTCCACCTCCACCTTCTCCGCCCGCAGCGCCCGCATCTGCATGTGCACGCTCGCCCGCTCCCTCTCCGCGCGCACCTTCGCCTCCTCCAGCAATGCATTGTCCTGCAGCGCTGCTGCCTGGGAGGAGTTAATGGAAAGGGGTGGGGGGAAGTGGGGGTGTAAGGGGGAGGGGGGGGGAGGAGGAGGAGACAGGGAGGGAGGAAAGTTGTTTTGTGTTTCAACTCAGACAGCATCTGCATGTGCACGCTCGCCCGCTCTCTCTCCGCGCGCACCTTCGCCTCCTCCAGCAATGCATTGTCCTGCAGCGCTGCTGCCTGGGGATGGGGGAACGGGGGGGGTGGGGGATGGGGGGACAGGCGGATACATGGGGGACGGTGTGCGGCAGGGAGGGGGACGGACGGGGGGGAGGTGATGGGAGGTGGGGGGAAGGAGAGGGAAGGGGGGAAGGGGGAAGAAGGGGGAAAAGGATACACAACATGAGTTGTGATTGGACTCAGATCAGAGGGCATCTATCTGCATGTGCACGCTCGCCCGCTCCCTCTCCGCGCGCACCTTTGCCTCCTCCAGCAGTGCATTGTCCTGCAGCGCTGCCGCCTGAAGGAGTGGGGCGGGGAAGACAGGCGGGAGGGATGTGGAGCGGAGGGAGAAAACGGCGGGAGAGGCGAGATAGGGGGAAAAGGAGGTCGGCAGGAAAGGTGATGTGTGTTTCGACTGAGAGTGCTGCATGTGCCGGGTTGCCCCTTTGTCCTTTGCGCTCTCTCTCTGTGCGCACCTTTGCCTCCTCCAGCAGTGCATTGTCCTGCAGCGCTGCTGCCTGGGGGTCCGGGGATGGATGGATGGGGAGCGAGGGGAAACGCAGAGAACAGACAGGGCGTGAGATTGTGAGAACAGAAGACGGCAAGGATACAGCGAGGAGGCTGCTGCTAGGGGACTACGAGTCGACTGCGAGGAGACACATGACGTGCTGATGGCAGCAGAGCAGAGAAACTGGGGCACACATGCACACATGCACACGTACCCACACCCGCACCCACACTCACACCCACACCCACACCCGCACCCACACCCACACTCACACCCACACCCACACCCGCACCCGCACCCACACCCACACCCACCCACACAAAGAGAGCACAAAGGCACGCACCAGGCGCTGCCTGGCACTGTCTGCTGCAGCGAGTGCCTCCAGTAGCTTCTCCTCCACCTGCTGCGCTCCCTGCAGACTGCTGCTGCTGCGCTGCCGCTCCTCCTCCTGCCGTGCAAGAGTGATATATGTGAGTGCCGCACACGAGTTGGCGGGAGGTGAGAGGAGGGAGGATGGGCGTGGGAGGGAAGGGGAGGGGAATGGGAGGAGGGGAGGAAGGTGGAAAAAGGGGGGGAAAGCGAGGAGTGGGAGAGGGAGAGTGGCAGGAAGAGAGGGAGGATGGTGTGAGGGTTGGAGACAAATCGAACGGAATGAGAGTCAAAGAGGGAGCGGGAAGGTGGGTACTGTTCAAATAGATTCTCTAATTTGCAGTTGTGTGAAGTGAAACAGCAACAGCAGAAGTAAAGGGCGTCAAGTCAAGGAATCGAATGCAGCAGCAATCAAGGGACGTGAGAACAGAGAAGCTGCAGAGACAGGCAGGGCAGGGCAGGGCAGGGGGGCAGGGCGGGGCAGGGCAGGGAAAGGCAGGGCAGGGGGGCAGGGCGGGGCAGGGCGGGGCAGGGCGGGGCAGGGCAGGGCAGGGGGGCAGCGCGGGGCAGGGCGGGGCGGGGCAGGGCGGGGCGGGGCAGAGCAGGGTGCGTCAAGGCAGGGAAGGAGGGTGGTTTGAGTGACTGACCAGTTGTCTGCGCAGCCCCTCGCACTCGAGATATAGCTGCCGCGACTCACTGTTGGCCTGCCGCGCGCGAGCAGAGGGAGGGGGTCACACGGACGGCTTGAGAAAGGGGGCGGAGGAATAAACAGGAGCAGAAACACGCACAGAGGGAGTGGGACGAGAACATGCGCGTTCTAGCTGCCTCTGACTGACCTACAGAAAACGAGGCTGCAAGAGGGGAAGAAGAAGTGGGTGCGGGATGATGGGATGGAGGTGATCTGCCCTTGCTTCCGCTGCCACATCCAAAAAATCTGCCTACAACCTGCCCCGGACTCCAGAGTCACCCTGCACTGCTAATGCACCACCACCGTCCCCCACTGCACCGCTAGGAAACAAGCCAGCATGCGAGCACTCACACCCGTGGCCCTCTCCTCTACTACCCCCAACAGCCCGTGCAGGCACTTTCAGTTAGCACATGCACATCCCAATCCCCTGCGTGCTTGAGTGACCCTATAATACCACAGCCCCGTCCCCACTGCATGGCAACAAAGCAAGCACTCACGTCCTTGGCCCTCTCCTCTGCTGCCTCTAGCAGCCCCTGCAGACGCTGCAGCTCCCGTGCTTCGGAGTACGAGGAGGAGGAGGAGGTGGAGGACGAGGAGAGGTTTCCTGGCATGACGGGGGGGCGAATGGCGGCCTGTGCGTGCAGGGGAGGGGAGGACAGGGACAGAGCCACAGAGGGACGGTGTTGGGGAAGTATAGAGAAAGGAGGAGACAGGGTGGGAAAGAGGGAGAGGGAGGTAAGGAGGAGATTGGTGAGAGGGGAAGTTAGACGATAGATGGGGAAATGAAAGATTGGTGAGCGGAGAAAGTGTGGAGAGTGGCGAGCGGAGAGCGGAGAGAGGAGAACGGAATGCGGGAAATTGTGGAGAGCGGAGAGTGGAGAGCAGAGAGTGGAAAGACGAGCACGAGAGAGGAAGAGAGAGGGCAATGGGAAATCAGTCAAAGGGGGTGGGGGGTGGGGGTAGGGTTGGGGGAGGGGAAGGGGAAGTGGGAGATAGAGAAGGAGGCGATTGGGGGGATGAGCAAAAAAACGAACACCTGTTCGGTTCGCCTCGAACGTGGTTATTTTTTTTGGCTTAAATCGTTCGCTGAACAGTGTTCGATGTTCGCCCGAACACGAACGCTGCTGCAATTTGCCCCTAGACGAACACGAACGTGTTCGAGGTTCGCCCGAACACGCCTTCATAGGCGAACGGCGAACACCTGTTTTTGCTTAAGGTGTTCGCCGAACCGAACAGTGTTCGGTTCGCCGAACAGGGGTGTTCGTGCATGGGCGAACACGAACACGTTCGTGTTCGCCCTTTGCTCATCCCTAATTGGGGAAGTGAGGGGAGGGACGAGGAGGGAACAAAGATGAGAAGCGACATGAAGAAACGGCACGCCTAGAAACAGGTTTGGGGTTTCTATGAACAGATGTAAGGACGAAGAAACAGAACGAATGGAAGATAGGCGTCGCGTAAGGGCGAGAATGGAAAAAGGGGAGGGGGAGTGTGGCGTGGCGGGCGGGGGGAGGGTGAGGGGAGGGGCGGGAGGTGGGGGGAGAGGGGGAAGGGGGGGAAGAGGAAAATAGGAAAAAGTGTGTGTGTGTGTGTGTGTGTGTGTGTGTGTGTGTGTGTGTGTGTGTGTGCGCGCGTGCGTGTGTGTGTGTGATGTTCCAAAAAATGATTGCTCAAGGACTGCACAGCTAGTCAACACCTCAAAACACAATCGTATGGCTTGCTAATCGTTTCCGAATCTTCGCATCTAGTTCATCATCCAACTCCTACTTGTGCAGAACCCATCCCAGCCACCCCCACACTTGCTTTCTTATTTCCATCCCCTCCACTCCTCCCCCACTCTCCCTTCCCTTTCTCTCTCCCAAGAGCTCCTGCCTTTTCTGCCCGCATGCTGAATGGCTCACCTCTCTTTGGAGCTTTGCCAGCTGCCTTTCTGCCTGCACGCATGCAATTACAGACAGGAAGAAGACAAAGACACGCACACGGCACCCACCACCCTCAAGCGGTCACACACAGCACCGCAGAGCACAGCACACAGCACACGATGGCATGCATGCTCGTGTGTACATTTAGTGATGCACAAACACTCAGGACCATGACCTTGCACATACGCACATGCACGTATGCAGAGACACACATACACACACATAGAGACGCACATAAGAGCGAATGCACACATAGGGTTTATGAAAACACACGAAAAACACAGCCGGGATCGGGGTACCTTCAGAAGTAACGTGTTTTCCAGAAGAGAAAGAATGAGTTTAAGGAGTTGCGTTTGAAGAGAGAATGCGTTTGAGAAAGTGCATTTAACAAGGAGATGCATGTAATGACACCTTCAGAAGAAAAACAGCGAGGAAAGTGAATCTGTGGTGGGTGGAATTACTCCCACATGCATGCATGCATGCATTGATGCTTCCAGCCACTGCACAGCACTCTCCTGTGCGCTCATTCACTATCCAGCACTCTTCCCCTCCACATGCACTCACAGCTTCACGCGAACCTACTCCCTCTTCCGTAGCCCAATCCACCATCCCCTCCGCCACTCCCCCATCCCCCCCACCCTTCCCACCCCCACCCACCGTGGCAAGGGCATCATCGAGCTGCTGGAACCCCCCCTGGCTGCCTCCAGCTCGCCTCAACTCAAAACCCCTAAACCCCTACTGTGCCGTCTCAAAACTCAACTCCTCCTAGCCCCAACCCGCCCCACCCCCACCCACCGTGGCGAGGGCATCATCAAGCTGCTGAATCTTCTCCCGTGCGGCCTCCAGCTCGTCCCCCCGGTGGTCTAGCTTGCCTGTCAGCAGCACCAGCGCCTCTCGGTGCACCTGCAGCGACTGCTCGCACTGCTGCAGCGCTGCCTGCGTTGATGCCAGCGCCTGCTGCTGATCCACCTGCGATGGGTCTACTGGGGGTTGCTGGATGGGGCATGGGGGGAAGACGAAAGTGGGGGAACGGAGGGAGAGGGGGCGGGGCTTTTGAGTAAAAAAAAATTGCTCGTAGTGATGCAGCGCTGCCTGTGTTGATGCCAGTGCCTGCTGCTGATCCGCCTGGGATGGGTCCAGCGGGGGGTTGCTGCGGAAGAAGGATGGGAGGATGGGAGAGGTATGGGATGATGAGGAGGAGGAAGGAGGAGGAATGACGACAGTGGGAGGAAAGAGAAGGTGGGAAAATAAGTCACAACAGCTTGGCTGGAGGGTGGGGGGGGATGCACTCAATTTGGCATGTAATAGCAAGGAAGGAAGGAAGCAGGAAGCAGAGGACCACTGGATGGATCACAGATGGCGCAGGAGGACAGGATGGGGAGGAGGAAGGAAGCTGTGCTGGTGGAGCGCAGTGCGGTGCGGTGCAGTGCAGTTCGGTGCAGAGCAGAGCAGAGCAGTGCAGAGCAGAGCAGTGCAGAGCAGAGCAGTGCAGAGCAGAGCAGTGCAGAGCAGAGCAGTGCAGAGCAGAGCAGTGCAGAGCAGAGCAGTGCAGAGCAGAGCAGTGCAGAGCAGAGCAGTGCAGAGAGCGTACCGAGGGCGAGCGCGGCATGCTGGGGGTCTGCACGCTGGACTCTAGGAACGTCACTGGCAGCTGCTTGCGCCCCACCAGTGCTGATTCGGGACGACTGGCCACCTGCACCAACGGAGGGGCGACAAGGGGGAAGTGGTAGAAGCATTTTGTGAGGCGCCTCAAAAGATTCGGGGCGACTGGCGACCTGCAACAAGGGAGGGGCGACAAGGGTTTTTGAGGCGCCTCAAAAGGTGAGCGAAGCATGCTGGGAGGTGCCTGCACGCTGGACTCTAGGAACGTCACTGGCAGCTGCTTGCGCCCCACCAGTGCTGATTCGGGACGACTGGCCACCTGCACCAACGGAGGGCGCAGGGGAAGAGGTGGAGGTGGGGAGGAAAGGAAGGAATCTAATTCTGGGGCGCCCCAAAACTAGACGCTGGACTCTAGGAACGTCACTGGCAGCTGCTTGCGCCCCACCAAAGCTGATTCGGGACGACTGGCCACCTGCACCAACGGAGGGGCGCACGGGGAGTGGTGGAGGTGGGGAGGGGAGGAAGGGATGTATGAGAGGAGTGGAAGGAGGTGGTAGGTTGGCTTTCGGAGGAGAGGGGGTTGGGGCGGGTTGAAAAATGGGAGAAAGGAGTCATGCGGAAGATGTTAAGGAGGAGAAGAACAGCGAGGGGAGAGGACAAGGTGGAGTGAGGCAAGGGCGAGGCGAGGCACACATAGATGTGCGCTGGGGTGCGTGCGTGCGTGCTTACATGGTGGTGTGTGAAACGAAACGACTCAAGCAGGGATGTGGACATCACATCTCACAGTGTGTCGTGCAACAGGATGCGATACATTCCGCATGCATGCATGCATGCATGTGTGATGTGATGTGATGTGATGTGATGTGATGTGTGCGTGTGCGCATGTGTGTGTGTGTGCATAAGAGACTGACTGACCTCATCCAAAGTGGCAGCAGCATACACCTCCAATTGAAACGAGTCGGTGGGAAACCAGAAGGGCCGCTTGGCGAAAGCACCACAGGTGACTGTGGCAATGTGGTATGACATGTTGAAAGAGGAAAGAAAGGTCAGGAACTTATTGTTGTGGTCATGGTGTTGTTTTTGCTAGACTTGGCGGGATTGCTGAAAGCAAGGGGAAGCGGAACACTTCAAAACTCAGCACAAGCCCTGCAGAAAGTAAAAAGAAAAAGCATGTAGTGATCATCTTGCAGCAAAGCAGCCTGCTATTCCCCTCATCTTCCCCTCCCTCTCTCTCCCCTTTCCCGTTTTCTCTCTAACAAAAAAAACGCCACCGTCACTACAGCAGCAGCAACAGCAGCAGCGGCGGCGGCGGCGGCAGCAGCAGCAGCAGCAGCAAGGCGGCGCCCCTCACCTTTCTTCTCCTTGAAGGCATTGGGAGGCAGCAGGAAGGTGTCCCCATCCACGATGCCATACGGCCTGTTGGCTGCAAACGAGAGCTGCAGCGAGGAGAAAAAGAGGGAGACAAGACGTGAGGGGGGAGGAAGAGAGAGAAAGATAAACCCACTGATGCTCTGAGGCGCCTCAGTGAGAAGAACCATATGGCTTGTTGTCGGCAAATGAGAGCTGCAGAGAGGGGGGGGGGGGAAGAGCGAGAGTGAGAGGGGGATAACAAGGAAGAGAGGCTCTGGCTCTCGAGGAAATGAGTAGGCAAGTAGGTAGGCCGGGAACTGAGGCAGGCAAGCAGAGAAGGGACTGTTTGAATTGTTTCAAAGGAACGAGGAGGACGGGGCGGAAGGGAGGAGGTGGAGAGAGGGAGGGTGGGGGCGGAAAGGGGGTTTGGAGAGGGATACACAACATGTAAAATTGGCGGGCACAGCTACGGGTGCTCTAAGCGTGAACGCATGGTGGGGCACGTGGCAGTGTACACGGCATGTTGGCACACGTGGTGGTGCACTCATGCACTCACTCACTCACACGTGGCATGGCGTGCAGTGCATCGCACCTGGTGCATTCACTCACTCTGAGCACACGCCGTGAGTGCATTCACTCACTCTGAGCACACGCCGTGAGTGCATTCACTCACTCTGAGCACACGCGGTGCGTGCATTCACTCACTCTGAGCACACGCCGTGAGTGCATTCACTCACTCTGAGCACACGCCGTGAGTGCATTCACTCACTCTGAGCACACGCCGTGAGTGCATTCACTCACTCGGAGCACACGCCGTGAGTGCATTCACTCACTCTGAGCACACGCGGTGCGTGCATTCACTCACTCTGAGCACACGCGGTGCGTGCATTCACTCACTCTGAGCACACGCCGTGAGTGCATTCACTCACTCTGAGCACACGCGGTGCGTGCATTCACTCACTCTGAGCACACGCCGTGAGTGCATTCACTCACTCTGAGCACACGCCGTGAGTGCATTCACTCACTCGGAGCACACGCCGTGAGTGCATTCACTCACTCTGAGCACACGCGGTGCGTGCATTCACTCACTCTGAGCACACGCCGTGAGTGCATTCACTCACTCTGAGCACACGCGGTGCGTGCATTCACTCACTCTGAGAACACGCGGTGCGTGCATTCACTCACTCTGAGAACACGCGGTGCGTGCATTCACTCACTCTGAGCACACGCGGTGCATCAGACAGGTTGGTGAAGAAGAGAGAGCCGTGCAGCTCTCGCCCCACCTCGACTGCCCGCACCAGAGAGCCAGGCACCAGAGAGCCAGGCACCAGGGACCACCGCCGCCGGGTTACCAGGAGCAGGGTTTGGCGGACCGGAAAGGGGTGGGGAGAAGGTCGGTCGGAATGGGGTGAGGGAAGGGAAAGAGGGGAAGGTGGAGAAGGAAAAGGGGGGAGAGCGGGAAGGGAAAGAGAGGAGGTGCGGGGAGTGGGAGGGGAGGGGGTGGGGGCTATTAAACCTCTAGTACCGGAAAATTTTAAAATTGAGCGACTAAGAAATTTGGGGGTGGAGGGAGGAGGGAGGGGAAGGGGGGAAAGGTGAAGTGGTGAGGTGCGGCGAAGAAGGGGGGTTTTGAAGAATTGGGCAGTTGGAACGACGAATGCTGGGCGTTAGAGAGAGCGAGAAAGGTGGCGATACGAAGCTCCTGAATCAGGCATGAGGAAAGCCAATGCACGGGGAGAGACAATGGGGATGAACGCGAATGATGAGAGTAACGCGAGATGTGCGAGCGCTGTGCTGCGCGGCTATGCTTCATTCAAGCGAAGCGGATGCGACGTTTTAAAGACTCTGCTAAGCATTTTTTTTCAGTTCATTCCTTTTCTTTCTTTCTTTCTTTAATACTTTTCTCCCTTCCGGTTCTGGTCCCTTCTAGTCGCTTCGGTCACTTACATGGGAAGCGAACGCAGCCCGGTTCTATCTTAAGAGCGTCCATGCACGCCTCGACTGCTCGTCCCTCGACGCTTCGCCGCAGGTCGACACAGAAACTCTAATGCCAGACGATCACCCGCGAACAGAATTTGCTACGACGAGCCCGCTAAAGGCCTGATTGCGAGTTTTCCAGTCGACTCAAAAGACGCGGCCGCTCGCTCAAGGCCTAATTGCCGCGTTTAGAGCAACGACGCGATGTCATCAATACTGCGCGGCGCGCGTTCGAGTTCACACCGACACGTGGCGTTGCAAGTTCATTATCAGCTGTGCTGATGCAACCAGCCTGCATCAAAATCAGGGAGCTCGACACAGCACCACCACCTCACCACCACGCGGACAAGAGAGCAAAAGTCAATTGCGGTACGACAGCATGCAAGTGCGTGAGTGCGACTGCCCTCCGCACGGCATTCCCGAAGCTTCAGGGGAGGTGGGGGGTTTTGTTGGAGGGGATTGGCCGCAGGGGTTTGCGTTCGGTTTCCGCGCTGCCGAACCTGTGCCAGACTTTAGAGGTTCCCAACTAGCTGATTTCGTTATAACGTGGCTAGGCCCTCGTTTTGCTTGTTACATTGAGTCATTGTTGCGATAGTCAATACAATAAATTCCCCAGTATAGTAACACACCTAGAAACCTCCATATCAGAACTTTGAGCTGCAACACAGAATTAACACACACCGAATGCCATTACACGGATATTTAGGAGACGTCTAATACGCTATTACAGGTCAAGCTGTTAAAGCTAGTTGCAACAATTCCAGGACACCAGCACCACCCAAGAAAGCAACCAGAAAGGATGTGAAAACACAGTAGCAGGACACTCATAACCTCCCACCCTCAAAAGGCTCAGTTCCATCCTCCCCCATACACTCTTCTGCAAACCACCACGAGCCAAGCTGATGCTAGATGGGGCCACAAGCAGTGGCTCCTCTCAACTCCTTTCCACCAACTCAGTAAACCCAGCAAGGCAAGTGGCTGCCCTAGACCTTGGCTCGGTGCTACACCCTTCTCTCGAATCCACCCCACACGCAACACCAGTCCTCAGATTTTCCATTTTATTCTCCGACCTACTACGCTACACACACACGTACTGGTTCATCGTCTCACCGAAAAACGCTGTCGTTTCTCCTTTCCCTGCCGTCTACCTCAGGCGCTTGGGAGCCGAAGAGTCCCAGTCATCGCAGCACAACGAGCATGCCTGTGAGCCTGTGAGCAAGCGTGTGAGCCAGTGAGCGGGGTGCTGTCTTGTCATCTCACTTGGGGGCGATGCCACGCTCCTCCACAAACTTTTTGACGTCGTCTGGACTCTTGATGCTCTTCAGGTCCTTCAGCAGTCGCTCCCTGGCAGGTACAGACGCAAGCGTGCAAGGGGGTGTGATGTGACAGACGTGAACATGTGCTGCGTGAATGAGCATGTGCTTGTGCATGTGCACGTGCATGTGGAAGGCAGGCCAGCACAGCATGAATGAAGACAACGGAACAAAACGCTCCTTGCTTTTCACTCTCCTTTGGAAGACTGCGGAAAACCATTCACAGGAAAGAGGTAACGGTTACCTCTGCTCAGCCCAGAGAAGGTCGTATCCAATAAAGGATGTGACTGCCGTGAGCCCTATGGCCTCCATGGCCCCTTGAACTGCCACACAAGCACAAGGAGGGAGGCACAAGGGGGATCCGGTCCGGGCAGAACGGGAAGGATCGAGGAGGAGAAATGGAGGCTTACGAGATGGGAGACATGGAAACAAAGAAGTGGTGTGTGTGTGCTCTCTGCTGCTGCTGGTGCTTGTGGTGGTGCTGCTGGTGACACTTGCGCTTTAGTGATTTGCCTCCGACACCAGCTGTCAGCGGTCATTGATCATGCAAGAGCAGCAGAGCAGGCACAAGCGGCAGCAGGGGTAAACTCGTGGACATTCTGAGTCGACTCAAAAACAAGAGTGGTAGTAGTTAGTGGTGGTGGTGGTGGCGGTGGCGGCGGCGGCGGCGGCGGCGGTGATGCACGTACATCCGCCAGTGACGGTGGCGACGGTGCCGAGCCCAACAGCGAGTGCAGGGATGGACGACTTGATGAGCGCCTGAATCCTGCGCCAGTTCTCCTCCTCCTGTGCATGGGCCAACACACACACACACACACCACCACCACCATGCACCACCATGCACACATGCACCAATGCAACCATGCACCCATGCACCCATGCACCCTTGCAACCATGCAACCATGCGCCCATGCAACCATGCACCCACCCACGGAAGAGACACAGCAAGGAAGGAAGACTAGTTAGTAGGAAATTGAAAGGAAGGGGAAAGAAGGGAAAGGGAAGGGAAAGATAGCGAGAATGGTTGCAAGTGGAGCACACTGGTGGGCATGACAAGGATGACGGGAGGCCAAGGATGGGTGCGGACAATATGGGTGTGGAAGACATTGGTGCGGACAATATGGGTGTGGAAGACATTGGTGCGGACAATATGGGTGTGGAAGACATTGATGCGGACAATATGGGTGTGGAAGACATTGGTGCGGACAATATGGGTGTGGAAGACATTGGTGCGGACAATATGGGTGTGGAAGACATTGGTGCGGACAATATGGGTATGGAAGACTTCATGTGATTCAGAACCCAGTGAGTAATTCCATGAAATGTCACACAGGTGGAGCAGCAAGCGGCAAAAGCAGCAGCTGGAGCAACATGAGTAGCAGCAAGAGCAGTAGAGAGCGTAAGGCACTTCCGTGCACTCACCTCTGACGGCTCCTCTGCCGCATCAGCAGCCACTGGAGCAGCAGCAGCAGGCAACGAAGCAGCCTTAGGCTTCACAGCAACAGCTGCAACCGCAACAGCAGCAGGAGCCGCCGCCGCCGCTTCCGCCGCAGCAGCAGCAGCCGGTGCTGCTACATCCGCGCTCTTCACTTCCTTCTTCTTGAACAAGAAGCTCCAGATGGGTTTCTTCTTCTCAGCAGGTTTCTCTGCAGCCGCTGCCGCCACCGCACCATTGCCTCCCGCGGCAGGCTGGGCTGTAGCAGGGAGAACAGACGCCTGCATCAGCTTGTTGGGCACCTTCTCAGCCTCTGAAGCATCAGAATACGGCCCGGTTGCAGCAGCCTTAGCAGGCGGCAGCAGCAGCAGCAGCAGCAGGGGAGGCAGGGAGAAGCGACGCCTGGCGCAGCTTGTTGGGCAGATTGACCGTCTCTGAAGGATCGGAATATGGCCCGGATGCTGGGGCCTTAGTGGGAGCAGCAGCAGGGGCAGCAGGGGAGGAGGGGACAGCGGGAGTTTTGACGGTTGACGGCGCAGCAGCGGCAGCAGAGGAAGAAGGGGTGGGGAGGACAGAGGCCTGAAGATTCTTGTTGGGTAGGTTGACAGTCTCTGAAGCATCAGAATACGGTCCGGTTACAGCGGGAGAAGCAGTGGCGCTCTTAGCGGCAGGAGGCGCGGGGAGAACAGACGCCTGGCGTAACTTGTTGGGCAGATTGACCGTCTCTGAAGGATCGGAATACGGCCCGGTTGCTGCTGCAATGGAGCTCTTAGCAGGAGCAGCAGGAGCAGCAGCAGAAGCAGCAGCGGAGGAGGAGGGGGAGGCGGACTTCTGTAGCTTGGGAGATGCGTTGAGAATCTCCAAAGCAACAGAGTACGGTCCGGTTGCTGCTGGGGTGGTCTTGGCAGGAGGAGCAGGAGAGGAGGAGGGGAGAACAGACGCCTGCATAGTCTTACTAGGGAGTCTCACGGTCTCTGAAGCATCGGAATACGGCCCGGTTGCTGCAGCAGCTGTGGCCTTAGCAGGAGCAGCAGCAGCAGAAGCAGAGGCAGTAGCAGCGACAGGGGTAGGCAGCTTCACGGTTTCTGAAGGGTCTGAATAAGGCCCGGTTGTTTCGAGAGAAGAAGCTGTGGCAGTAGCAGCGCCAGCGGTGGGGAGGACGGAAGCTTGCAGGAGCTTGTTGGGGAGAGGCGTGGGTTCAGATGCGTCAGAGTAAGGACCTGGGGGAGGTGATTTGTGGAGGGGAAATGATGCAAGGGGAGGGGAAGATGATGCGCGGAGGGGAAGTGACACAAGGGGAGGGGAAGCGATGCGCAGAGGGGAAGCGACACAAGGGGAGGGGAAGCGATGCACGGAGGGGAAGATGATGCGCGGAGAGGGAGAGGGGAGGAGACGTTTTGGGAAGATAGTGTGGGAAGTGCTGTTGAGAATGGGCTTGACTTGGAGCAAGGGAGGACGAAAGAGGTTAGTGTGTCAAGTGGAATCATGCGAATAACGCGAGTCATGCGAGCCGCGAGAACGGGAGAGGGTGCCGGGGGGGGGGGGGGGGAGGAGGGGGGGAGGTTCGTAGCAAAAGAGCGCGTGAGAGATGGAGGGAGATGATGATACGGGAACAATAGAATCCCAACCAACCGGTTCCTACCTACCAGACTGGCAACCTCACTACCAACTAGCGTTGGTGCGTGCATGCATAACATGTTCCTTCCTTGTGCTCTTGTGCTCGTGTGCGTTGATTCCTTCCACGATAAGCTCGTGTGCTCGGCTGGGTCTCACCTTTTGCAGCCACGGATGCTCCCGCTAGCGGCGCCACTGCTGGCATTGGGTTGGGATGGAAAAGAGAAAAAGGGAGAAAGACGGAGAGGAGGCGGACGGGGAACGGGGAGAGGAGAGGAATAGTTGAAGAAAATCAAAGGGGGAAGGGAGAGGGCGCGGGAGAGAGGAAGGGGGGAAAGGCTGAGAGAAGGAAATCTAGGGAGAAAGGAAGAGCGGTTGGCAGGGAGGGAGGGAGGGAGGGAGGGAGGGAGGGAGGGAGGGAGGGAGGGAGGGAGGGAGGGAGGGAGGGAGGGAGGGAGGGAGAGAGAGAGAGGGAGAGAGGGAGGGAGGGATGGGGGGAGGAAGAGAGAGAGAGGGGTTGCGAGAGAAAGAGAGGTGGAACGAAGTAGAAGAAAATGAGCAAACTCAAGAGCATTGCGTGAGAAACAAGTTTTTTTTGTCCTTTATTTATTTTCGCAATCTCCTTCTCGTCATCTGACTAGACCAGACCTGTTCACTTCAGACTGCCAGATAAAAGACAGGCACAACAGATAAAAACGCTTGATTGATCCTCGATCGATCCTCCTTCTCCCTCCCACGCTTCCTTACGTGTAACCCCGCCCCGCTGTTCCGTGTTCCCTTGTTCCCCGCTCCCGGTCCCACACTTTCCCGTTTCCCGTTTTTTCCGGCGTTGCGCTTCCAGTTCCCGTTAGTCTTCTCCGGCACCAACCCCCGCGCGCGTACCTTCCGCGGAAGCCGATTTGGCGGACTTCTTCCGCCCGATCGCCACTCCGCCCACCGCAATCAGCGCCAGCCCGATCGCCCCGAGCAGCACTCCGCCCTGCGCTCCGCCAATCCCCCCCGCGCCCCCGGCTCCCCCCGCCGCCGTCCCCACCGACGTAATAAAATCCTGCGCCTTAGCCTTCACCGCAGTAACGGCGGCGCCTAATCTGGCGGTCCCCTCGACGTTCTTAATCACTATGCGGTCTTCGAGGCCGGCCGGCGCGGCGCCGGTCCAGGCGAAGGACGGCACGCGCAGCAGATCGCCCTCGTAAATAACGTCGCCGCTGTTGGCGATGAAATCGGTGTTGGCTCGGATGAAATCCGCGGGCGCGCAGTTGAAGTTGCGCGCGAGCACGCGGAGCGAGTCTCCCCGCGCCACGCGCACGAAGACTTGCACGGACTGGTGAAGGGGGACGGGCGGAGGAGGGGGAAGGGGCGGGGGACGGGGGCGGGGGGCGGGGGAGGGGAAGGGAAAGGGGAGGAGTGGGGGAAGAGCGGAGGGGGAGAAGATTGAATAGAGAGGTGGAGGAGGGGAAAGGGTGAGCAAGAGCGGCAGGAGGTGAGAAAGGTCAGGAGGGGAGTGGATGAGGCATGAAAGCGTGAACAGGCCGTAGGAAATGGTTAAAGAAGTGCGCTAAGCTAGGCAGTAAGCGCATGATGCTTGTCCGCGTCTCTGTACTGTATTACTGTACTCGTGGCATGCATAAACCTGAGTTTACGAGTCACACGAACGAGCCACACGAACGAGCTACACGAACGAGCTACACGGTTCCGTATCGCGCACCTGTGAAAGTATATTGCGATGCGTGTTCATTTCTTACCCCTGCGAAACACCTCAGCTGAGCGCGTCGCCTAGAAAGATGCACGTTACGAGAGTCGTAGCACGAGTGCAGAGTAATGTGAAATATCTTGCTGAAAAGGCTTGAATAGAAGAAATATATGAATGAGAATCAACAAACAAGCAAATAAACAAATGAGCGAGCAAATGAACACACACTAGAAGGGATACATGTCTACAGATGCGCGCTACCTGGCCGGCCTCGGCGCGAATGTTAGGCAGCTGAGGTCCCTTAGACGAGCCGACGACGGGCGACGCGCTTCCTCCTTCAGCCTTCAAACCGAGAAAGCCGCTCCGCAGGGGTGAGTGATACCGCGTACTCCGCGCTGGCCGCGGCGCGCCACGTGCTGCCGCTGCGCTGCTGCCAGCTGGCAGCGTGAGGTCGGTGAGACACACGGAAGACGCCGCCATTGCCAAGGAACTTCGAGTATTCCTCGTCAGAACAAGAGGAATGCGCGAGGGCGGTTGCTGGCTTCGCCGGGCGTCCTATCGGGCGGCGCGCTAGCGTGACTCTGATGCTAGGAAGGAAGCAAAATAAATGTCTTCCTCTAATCAAGCCTCTAAACCTCAGGTCGGGGTGGGAGGCTTGGGTGACCCTGGTCTGGTACAGTATTGTCACAGCAACAGCACGAGGGCGGGTTGGTGGTGGGGTGGGGGACGACCCTTTCTACAAAAGTCTGGTTGTCGCGGACAGCGCAAGAAAGCTGAGGGAACCAGCGGAAAGGGCTGTTTCGGGGGGCGGAAGGATACTGAGCGGAGTGAGAAGTGCGAACCCGTCTCGGTCTGCCCGAAAATGCATTTGCTGAATTTCTCGTATGATTTCAGGAGGAAAGCCAATTACTAACGAATTTTAGAGTGTTCCAGGGACACAAGAATGAAAAGCTCTAAAATGTCTGGGAAGCTGACCGCTCTCTGTTCTTTGTTTCGTGGTTAGACATCGCGACTTCGATGATTTGCTACTAGCGAATATGCGATCTAGTATCTTCGGTGCTGGAAAGTTTGAAACAAAGGGAGGACATTCAGTGTCGTTTGTTGTATTTCATGGGCAGTTATAAACTCACAAGGAAAACCGCAACAATACCACAACAAGCTTTTGGGGAGGGGGTTGGCTTGGCGGTGGTGAGGGGGGACACCTCCCCTTCACCCCCACTTGATACTCGAGTCGCACGACTCTTGGCCGCGTTTCCAGCACCCATCCCAGCCCAGGGAGTTGCGTTGGCTTGCGCGAAGCGAAGAATCGGTTGGGGAGATTGTTGCGAGAAGAATTCTGCGATACGAATGGCGGCGATGAATCTACGAAGAGCATCGGTTGGCAAACTGTATGGTGTCCAGCCGATGTTGGCGATTGCGAAGGCGAAGGCGACCGCATTTCGTTCACGAACCTGAAGGGGCTGAACCTGGTGAAGCTCAGAAAGTGCTTCGGCGATGATTCGTTCGGATTGCCGTGATTGCGGCCATCCAGAACCGCACGCAACACCTTCGTTATGTGGCTGGCATTCGCTTCTCTCACTGTTCGTAGCGCAAAGAAATCCCGTTTCAACCAATCATCAAGCCGCATCCAACAACCCGAAAGTGGTTCGAGAATGCGCTTGGTGGACGAATAACCACCAGAGATTTGGATGTCTGTCCGCTTTATGATATCTTTATTACAAGAATGAAGGCCACCCTATTGCTGGAAGGGAGGTGCTGTGAAGATATTATGAATAATGCTCTTGCTGGACACAACTTGCTATATGTGCTAAACATGCATTAGTCTTCTCATTATTCGATATTTACATGTGATAGTTTTGATAACCATGATAAGCTTCCTGCACAAGAGTTGAAAGCCACATGCTGCAACTCTCTTATGATTCATTTACAAACAATAGCACACGGCTACAAGCTGGTTGTGGGTGTACATCTACTGGTTGCAATCCGCGTTCGTCCATATCGCAGTTTTCCGCCAAAAAACTTTCAATTCAAACTCACGCACCCAGCGTCAGCAGTACGCCTGCGATAGAATTGTGACACTGCAGCACCTTGGCTGCGAGCGTGCCCCACTGCTCCTCTGGCGTTTCAGTTTGTGTTCTTCATGCCTTCTCCTCACTTGACGTTCCCTGGTCAGGATGGCATGTGTCAGGTCATTTCTTCTTCCGAGTCACCAGGACAGTGCGAAGCGCTTGGGTATCGCCCTCAGTTACGTAGCCAACTCCAAAAGCGCGACTCTCGTGTTGACTCGACTCCGTGTCCGCAGTAGGCCGACCCAAATCCCACACCAGCACTTACGCCTCGCGAATGTTACTATCCCTAGTCCGTCCTCGTAATCACAGTATGCGCCTCTAATACCAGTCAACCAGTACTTCTCATGTCACCACCACCATCGAATGAATAACCACGTGAAACCCTCAGATACTACCGACGCTACCATGCGAGCACTATCATCCTCCCTACATTCGCCCGCCTCTAGAGCCCGATCCGCTAGCTCTCCCAGTCCCCATCTAAACGCCGGGAATAGTGTATTTGATGTTGGCGACCCGGCGAATGCAGCTGCGGCAGCAACTACTGACAACGGTGCGGCAGCTTCTGTCGCTACTAGAACCAGCGTCTCCGCGCGCTGCGTTTCCGCCGCGACCTGCTGCTCCGCACCCGTAGGCCCCCCGCCTGCACCCTCCGCGACTTCCGCTTCCGCGCATTCCGCGTCCGGGCATTCCGCTTCCGCGCATTCCGTTTCCGCGCCTTCCGCCTCCGCCGCAGCCCCGAAGGAGCTGCACATCGGCGGCTACCGCGTGCTGTTCCCCCACACGCCGTACCCCCCGCAAATACAGCTCATGGCTAAGATGATCTCCGCGCTCGACGCCTCGCTCTCCCCTCACGCGCTCCCCCGCCCCCACCCCCACACGCTTCCGCCCGCGCGCGCGCGCATGGGCAGCACGAACGCGCTGCTCGAGTCCCCCACGGGCACGGGGAAGACCCTCGCGCTGCTGTGCGCAGCGCTGGCGTGGCAGAAGCGCGCCAAGGAGGACCCCGCGCGGCTCGCGCAGGCGCACGCGGGGGGTGCGGGAAATGCGGGGGTTGGGGGAAGCGGTGGCGGTAATGACGGGGATCCGTATACTACTGGGGGAGGGTTCATTGTCCCAGACGCTGACGGTGAGTGAGTGGAGACGGACGCTGGGTATAGTGAAGAGATGAAGGGCATGGGCAGCGGGGGCAGGTGATGGGCGCAGGTGATGGCGCAGGTGATGGGCGCAGGTGATGGCGCAGGTGATGGTCGCAGGTGCCGCGCGCAGGTGGGCGTGGCACTCCGTTACAGAGCGTTCAGTGGTGAGAGTCGCTTGGCATTGTTATCGTGCGAGACACAGCTCAGCAGCAGGCGTGAGACAAACAGTCAACTAGAGACAGTCGACCTCAGCTATTGCTTCTTTTGTCTGTTCCTTCCGCTCCTGCCGATCTTTTGCGTCCGTCCCCCTTTCCTTCTGCTTCAGGCACGGGTATGGGAGAGGGTGCAGGCAAGGAGAAAGACGAGGCAATGAATGGCGGGGGAAGCGCGGAAGGAGAGGGCTTTGCGGCGGAAGGACAGGGCCAGGCGCAGGGGAAGGGGCAGCAGGGCGGGCAGAAGCAGGGGAAATCGGCCCAGAACGTGCCGGCTGTTCACTTCCCCAGGATCTTCTATGCCTCGTAAGGGGCTTGGTTTGGTTTTGAGTCGATTAAGAAGGAACCAGGGGAAGCTGGCTCAGAACGTGCCGGCTGGTAACTTGCGGGCTGGTCAATTCCCTTTCCCAGGATCTTGCCTTCCTTGTAAGGGGCTTGGTTTGGATTGGTTTGTTTGAAGTTAAGGAGAAGTGAGCTGGCAGTGAGGTGGGAGGGGGGGAGGTGTGAGGGACTGGAGGTATGTATGTATGGATGGATGGATGGATGGATGGATGGATGGATGGATGGATGGATGGATGGATGGATGGATGGATGGATGGATGGATGGATGGATGGATGGATGGATGGATGGATGGATGGATGGATGGATGGATGGATGGATGGATGGATGGATGGATGGATGGATGGATGGATGGATGGATGGATGGATGGATGGATGGATGGATGGATGGATGGATGGATGGATTGATTTATACATGGATGGACGGACGGACTGACTTATCTCACCCCTCAGCTCCCGGCTCCTTGCTCTCACGCCCCGCCCCCTGCCCCTTTTTTCCCGTCCCTCGTCCCTCGCCCATTCACTCCCCGGACCACAGGCGCACGCACAGTCAGATATCGCAGGTGGTGCGGGAGCTGCGCAAGAGCAGCTACTCGCATCGTGAGTAGTCTAAAAAACTCCTCCTCTTCCTCTTCCTTCCCCCCGCTCCCCGTCCTCCCCTCGTGCGCCACCACAGGCGCACGCACAGCCAGATATCGCAGGTGGTGCGGGAGCTGCGCAAGAGCAGCTACTCGCCTCGTGTCTCGTCTCAAAAACACCCTCTCTTCCTCCTTCTTCCCCTTCACTCCGTGCCCGCCACACTTGCACTGCCACAGGCGCACGCACAGTCAGATATCGCAGGTGGTGCGGGAGCTGCGCAAGAGCAGCTACTCGCCTACCATGACCGTGCTTGTGCGTGGAACCAAGGCCGCTGGCTTTTTTGTGGTTGCAAGTTCGGGTTTGGAGTTTGGGTTTGGGGTTTGGGGTTAAGGGTTGGGGTTGCAAGAGCAGCTACTCGCGTACCATGACCGTGCTTGTGCGTGCAGTGCACCCAGGGCTTGCGCGGGGTTGTGAACTGGGGAGTGTTGTGGGGTTCGGGGCAGTTGGGTTGGGAGGTTCGGGGTTTAGATTTGGGGGTTGTTGTGGGTTTGGTGTTGGGTTTGAAGGGCATGGGGCCGATTGAGAGTTAACATGCAAGTAGCAACAGAGGTTGGATTGACCATCATTTTTGCAGTTGTGCCATTCTTGCCGACCCACCCTCGCTCCGTTCGCCACCCCTTTGATGAGTGACAGAGCTTTGCTTTGCTGTGCTGTGCTGAGCTGTGCCGTGCTGTGCCGTGCCTGACCGTACCCCACATCACATCACACCAAAGCACGGCACCATAAGTCCTGGTTTTGTCCCTGTGCCAAAATTGCATTGCAACTGCTGCCTGCTGTACCGCTTCTTTTGAGGCGCCTCAGGCCCTCGGAGGCCTGCTTTTCAGGCGCTGTGAATGCTTGACGTACCCCTTTTGAGACGCCCCATTTCTTGTATAGGCGCCTCGAAATGTTTTGGGACGTCTTAAAAGGCTTGATGTTCCTTCCTCTGCCCTGCTCCTGACCCCATCCGATGACCTTAGAGATCAAACTTCTAACAAGCTTAACCCTGCCGTCCGTCCTGCCTACCCATCCCCTCCCCACTTGCCCTCTTCTCGCCCTCGCCCCCTGCCTTGTTCTTCCATCGCCCTTCCCAGTGTAAAATCCCTAGTGTCATGTCACCTTCCAGGAGCCCAAACTCTCTGTGATATTCACTCGCTCTCTCGCTGCTCCTTCCCTCTCCCCTGCTGGCCATACCACTACCACCACTGCCACCACCACTATCACGATTGTCACTTGTCTCCACCGCCAACCCACCAGGCATCGCGCAAGCATTACTGCTGCAACAACACCGCACTCAAGAAACCGTCTGTTGACGAGGCATGGTCGGTTCTGCTCTGCTCTCCTCTGCTCTGCTCTCTTTCATCCTCTCCAAAGAGCCGTCATTCATTACCCACCATGCATGCATGCTTCCTTTACTGCCGCTCATCACCAAAGAGTCATCTCGCGAGCTTCATAGCAACAGCAATCTTGACTTTTTTGGGCCCTGATGTCTCACTTTCATGCCTTGCCTTCCATCACATGTACATTAACACACACATCTGCCTGTGCCTCTGCGTTCGTTCCACTCGTCTTGATCCGTTTCTGTCGAGTCAACTGGCACTACCCTGCTTTGCCGTTCGCTACTTGCTCTACTACCCTCTCAGCCAGCCTGCACCTGCAGCGTCTCTGTTGCTTTCTCATGGTCAGCCCTCTCTCGCTCGCTCCTTGTGCGCATTGCATTGCTCACCTTCATCTGCCATAACTTCCCTGCCTGTATCTCAGTAAGGCTCTCTTATCTCCGGGACTCGTGCAAGAAACCGACGACGAGGCGCAGCAAGTCACAGCCACTGGCTGCATCTTCTTCCGGTAACCCCCCTCCCCTCCCCTCCCCTCCCCTCCCCTCCCCTCCCCTCCCCTCCCCTCCCCTCCCCTCCCCTCCCCTCCCCTCACCTCACCTCTCTCTTCCTTCTGAGAAATCCCACAAGTGACCTGAGTCTCGAGCAAGGCAGTAGCAAATGACGCGCAGCAAGTCTCAGGCACTGGCTGCATCTTCTTTTGATAACCCCCATCCCTTCTCTTTCTCTTCTCTTGCTGTCTCTCCTCCTCTGCCTCTTCCGTCCTTCCCCACTTCCCCGTCCTCTCATGCTTCATCTCGTGACTTTTCTTCTCCCCCCATTCCACTTGTCTCAGTGCAATGCTCTCGCACTTGTTTGCCGCTTCTATCTCTAACCCCGTCACTCCAGTGCAACCACTCGGCCTGAATTCAATCTCAACTGCCCCTCATTGCGTCCCTCTTTTCCAGCCGTCCCCACCTCCTAACTCCTCGTCCATACCCATCCCACATAGCAGTCTCCTCACCACCCTGCTATCTTCTCACGCCCCACATCCATTCCCCTCTGTAGCCCCCTGTACCACAAACTCCAACTCTCCTCTCCTCTCCTTGTCCCGTCTTCCCCCACCCCCAGCAACTATGCTGAGCTGAAGGGCCATGCATCCCTGCAGCCTGGAGGGCCCCTGGCAGTAGCTGCATCAGCCTATGCAGTTAGCTCTAGCAAAACGCACGTCTCCGACCTATGTCTATTCGTTTCCCTTCTTCCCCGATTTGCAGCAACTACGCTGAGCTGAAGGGCCATGCATCACTGCAGCCGGGAGGGCCCCTGGCAGTGCACGATGTGGAGGACCTGGTGAAACTGGGGAAACGCACCAAAGGTGGGTTGCGGGGGGCCGTGGTCATGGACCTAGCCTGGGAGGGGATGCTGGTTGAGTTAAAAGGCACCCTGGCAGTGCACGATGTGGAGGATCTGGTGAAGCTGGGGAAGCGCACCAAAGGTGTGTGGGTGACTGCGTGTGAGTATGGTCATGAGCCTGGGCTGGGAGGGCTGGTAGTTGACTTAGTAGACCCCCTGGCAGTGCACGATGTGGAGGACCTGGTGAAGCTGGGGAAACGCACCAAAGGTATGTGAGAGTACGCGTGTGTGTGTGTGTGGGTGTGTGTGTGTGTGTGGTCATGAGCCTGGGCTGGGAGGGCTGGTAGTAGACCCCCTGGCAGTGCATGATGTGGTGGAGGGTCTGGTGAAGCTGGGGAAGCGCACCAAAGGTGTGTGCGCGCATGCGTACCCTCTCGGAAGCTCATAACCACATGGCCACATGACTCCATGACCTCATTAGGCAAGTTAAACCGCTGCTGGTCTTGATGCGTCTGCCTCTGCTTCTTCTTGCTTCTGCTTCTGCCTTTTCACCACGTGCAAGCTAGCTGGCGTCCCACTGCGCTGATGGCGGTGTAACACTCGGTGCATTCCAGGTGCTCTCCTGCTCAGTACTTCCCCCTTCTCTCTATCCAGGGTGCCCGTACTTTGCAGCGCGTGCAGCAGCAGAGGACGTGGACGTGGAGATGTGTCCGTACAACTATGTGCTGTCGCCTGTGGTGCGGCGCAGCATGGTGCCTCAACTGCGTTGGCATTAGTGGAAGGGACAGTGTGTCCCTTCCTTCCCTTTCAAGTGACTTCTTGCTCCTCCCACCCTCCCCTCCATCCTCTCCCCTCCTTTACCCCTCCCACCCTCCACGTCCTCCTTCCAGGGTGCCCGTACTTTGCAGCGCGAGCAGCGGCGGAGGACGTGGATGTGGTGATGTGTCCCTACAACTATGTGCTGTCGCCCCTGGTGCGGCGCAGCATGGACATTCGTCTGGACGGCAGCATTCTCATCTTTGACGAAGCACAGTTGAGTCGCTCTGCGTGTAGGGGGGGTTGGGCGCGTGTGTATATGAGTGCATGTGTGTTGGTGCATGTATGCCTTGAGTGCGCCTGTGGTGCGGCGCAGCATGGACATCCGGCTCGACGGCAGCATTTCGACGAGGCACAGTTGAGTCGCTCTGCGTGCGAGAGAGAGAGAGAGAGAGAGAGAGAGTGTGGGAGCGCGTGCGTGTGTACGTCACGTGTCAGTGCGTGTATGTTGTGAGTGAGCTGGTGGTGCGACGCAGCATGAGCATCCACATGGAAGGCAGCATTCTCGTCTTCGATGAAACACAGTTGAGTCGCTCTGTGTTGGGGCGGGTAAGGAAAACGGAAAGAGAGGCCAAGTGTGAGAGCATGACTTGATCGAATGGTTCGCCTCGTCAGCAGCGTTTTCACGTTCGACGAGGCACAGTGGAGTCACCGCTGTGTGCGACAGTGCGAGCACGTCTGTCCGTTGGTGTGTGAGCGAGTGCGAATGTGTGACTGTCTGTGTCTGTGGCCGAGTGTGTAAGCGTGCTTCAGTCTTTCCACCAGCGGCATCACTAAGTCAACAGAACCACAATCAGGAAACTGAACCAGCCTTAACATCCCTCACTTAACACCCGTCCACCACTTTCCGCACTTCCCGCATCACAAACCCACGTCCCCTACCCTCCGTTCGTCTGTCCACCTGCACGGCATCACCTTTGCCATGCCTACCTTCATCCCTGCAATTCTCTTCTCTGCTCTGGTCCATCTCATGCTCTTTGATCTTCCCTCCTGTCCTGTCCTCTCCTCTTCTCTCCTCTCCTCTCCTCTCTCCCCACACACAGCAACATAGAGGAAGTCTCCAGGGAGGCAGCGAGCTTTGAAGCCTGCGTTACTGAATTTCAGGGCAAGCTACTCCCACTGCTACCATCTGCTCTGCTGCTACCATATGCTCTGCTGCTGCTTTATAACTTCGCCTGTCCACCTGCTACTGTTGATCTTGCTTGCGTGCCCTTATCCTCTGACACCATTTTGCCTCTTGCATTGTTTAGCTGCGCTGCGCTTGCGTGCTTGCTCTCTGTTTTTTTCTGGTTTGTTTCGTGTTGTTCTGTTTTGTTTTGTTTTGTTTCTCCTGCTTGTTGATCTGCTTCTTTTGTTTTCCCTCTTCGCATCGTTTCTAATTAAGCGCCTCTCCCCTCTTCCCTTTCCCCTTCCTCTCTTACTCGTCTGAAACCTCTGCAGCGCCAGCACGAGCTTTAGAGGTACAAGCCACACCACCAACTCCTTGTGAGCGATTTTTAGAATTCTCAAAAAACGCTTCTCTCCTCCGCCCCCATCTGAAACCCCTGCAGAGCTAGCACGGGAGTTGGAGGTACTAGCCACACCACCAGCACCTAACGGACTCCCACGCATGCTGGGACAGACGGCAACAGCTGCAAGGCGGAGAGGAGGGCGAGGAGTGAGAGGCAGTAGAGGCGGCGATGGGAGTGGAAATTTAGGGTCAGAGGAGGGAGGAGAGGGAGGAGAGGGAGGAGAGGGAGGAGGGGGAGAGGAGGATTTTATGGCGATCTGTACGGACGCCTATGCGAGGGTATATGCACCCTTGGCAGATGCGATCACTGTGAGTCAACTCGAATTCACCTCTGCCTGCTGCGCACCTCCACTGAGGAATATGCCAGGGTATACGCACCCTCGGCACGTGCACTCACTGTAGATTCCTGATTCGTCATTTTGTTCCCTTCCATTCCTCCACCCATCTTGTTCCCCTCTATCTCATTCCCAGTTTTTGCTCTGCTGTGACTTCATTAGATTTCTTGTTTAGGTTGTGTGTGTGTGTGCGCGTATGCGCGAGCGTGTGTGTGTGTGTATGTGCATGCGACATGCGTTCATGTGTGTGTATGGATTTGCGCTGCTCTTCTAGAATCACCCCCAAGCCCGCCCTCCTTTTCGCCCTTGTCTACATATCCGCCTCTCCTGCTCTCTATGTGCATCTCTCCCCATCAATTCCCACTTCTCCGTGTATCCCCGCGCCTTACTGTCAATACATCTCTTCCCCTCAAAGGCTCTCTCAGAGTGGCTGAATCAGCAGTGCCAACGGTTGCTGGCGCAACAGAAGCACAAGCGGGGAAGGACTGGCTCCAAGGCATTGTTTCATAACAGCAATCCATCAGACGATGCTATTGTGTAACCTCTCTCTGCATGCAACCATCTCCCTTTCTGTCACTTCCCTCATCTTTCCTTGTTTGTTCATTTCTTTCTCTCTCTGCTTCTGTTTTGTTTCAATATCTGTCACCAACATCTCCTCCTCCTCCTCCTCCTCCTCCTCCTCCTCCTCCTCCTCCTCTCCTCCTCCTCCTCCTCCTCCTCCTCCTCCTCCTCCTCCTCCTCCTCCTCCTCCTCCTCCTCCTCCTCCTCCTCCTCCTCCTCCTCCTCCCTCCTCCTCCTCCTCCTCCTCCTCCTCCTCCTCCTCCTCCTCCTCCTCCTCCTCCTCCTCCTCCTCCTCCTCCTCCTCCTCCTCCCCTCCCTCCCCCTTTCCTTGCACTGCAAATGCATCTGCTCCATCCAGTTGATCTGCCACAACCTGTCCCCCTGCCACACGACACGCCTAGTATGTCCCCTCTCCCTTACAACCTGTCTACGCTCTTCCCATTCCCGCCTGCCCCTCTCCTCTCCTCGCCCCACCACCCACCACCCGCAGCCTTGCAGGGGACCAGATTCTCGCCTCCCTGTCACTCGCAGGCTTTCCGCTGGCCCACTTCCCACTGCTGCTGCAGTGCTCCAATAAGGTACCGTCTGTCCGTTCGACTGCTTTTCGAGTCGACTCAAAGGCTTCCCACTGCTGCTGCAGTGCTCCAATAAGGTACCGTCAGTCCGTCCGTCTGTCCGTCCATCCGTCCGTCCATCCGTTGGTCTATCTTTTGATCTTCCCTGGTAAAAAACGCGTGCGATATGCACCGGCCATATCAGATGTCACCATTTCTGCTTCATTCATCTCATCCAATCGATCATGTCTGCCTTGTGTTCAGAGTTGACTCAAAACACGAATCTGCCCTACACGAGACCTCTTTAGATAATTATCATAAGCACTGTCAATGTATGCTTTATCCAAACGTCCCAAGCAGCACACTCTGAAACATCTGCTGGCTTTTCAACATTTGCATTTTCACCTACATCTGCATCTGCATCTGCATCTGCATCTGCATCTGTGGCTGTGGCTGTTGCTGTGGCTGGGACCCCCATGCATGCCCAGGCCCTGAGTCTGGCGCGGAGTGACAAGGCCGTGGGCTTCCAGGTGTCTGCCAAGGGTGCTGCTCTGATGGACGGTAGGCCTTGTGGGTGTGCAGTGCACAGATGGGTGTGTGTGTGCGCGCGTGTGTGTCTCAGCACTAGACTGGTGTTAGGATGGTTAGAGGGCAAGGCTGACTGATGATGGTATGACACTGGTGAGTGGTGGTGATGGGGGATAGAGATGAGTGGTGATGTTGGGGGGCAAAGAACTATGATGGTGATGGTGACACACTAATAGCTCAATCTACAGCCTTCAGCATCGGCACATCTACCCTCTTTTTTTTTTTTTTTTTTTTTTTTTTTTTTTCGCCTTTGCCCTTCGCCTTCTTGTCCAGATTTCTGAGCGTTCGTTCCAACCCTGTTCTTTGATTCTTTCTCCCCATGTCTCTTCTCCTTCTCCCTTCGACATCCTCTAATTTTCCGCTCGTTTCGCCGCTCTCCCTCGCTCGGCCTCCTCGTCCTCCCTTGCTCTTTCTTCCGCCTTTTCACTGCACCAGGGCTCTTCACAGCGCTCTCCTTCATCCTCAGCGATGGCTGCAAGGCCCTGCCAGACTATCGCATGCTCGTGCACGCACCCACTGCTGCCCCATCATCGGCTGCTGGTGGTGGTGTTGCTGCTTCTAGGACAGACACAGATGGCAAAGGTGCAGGGCAGGGAGAGGAGCAGCAGCAGCAGCAGCAGGAGCAGCAGCAGTGGCGGTTTTCCTTGTGGTGCCTGAACCCTGCTGTTGCTTTTCGACCAGTAGCTGCAGCCTGTCGCACCATCGTGCTCACATCCGGGTGAGAAGCATTGTGAGACGGCAGATGCACGTATACCTCTTTCATGGTAGTAAAGCTTGTGCCACAGACCACTCTTAGCAGGCTTGCAGCGATTCGAAACCATCGTTTTTCAGCTGCCCTCTTATGTGTAGGTGTGTCCTCCTCCGTAGTGCTCCGTAGGGCCTGAGGTGTGCCGAGACAGTGCTCGCAAGCATATGCTGTTGTTGTTGTGTGTGTGTGTGTGTGTGTGTGTGCGTGCGTGCGTGTGTGCGTGCGTGCGTGCGTGCGTGTGTGTGTGTGTGTGTGCGCGCCTGCCCCTGCCCCTGTGCTTGTGCGCGCACGCATGTGTGCAGCACGCTATCACCCACGGATTCATTCGCCTCGGAGCTAGGAATCGACTTCACATGCACCATGGAGGGCATGCACGTTGTCGACTCCGCCACACAGGTACCCTACCGCTCGCTACCACTTGCTACCATGTACAGCCACTCACAGCCACTCACAGCCACTCACTACCACTCAAACCACTCGCTGCCTCTCAATACCGTCCCTCCACCCTCTCCAGTCTCTCCCCTCTCCCCTCCTCCCTACCTCTCTCCCTCCCCCCTCTCTGCAGGTGTGGGCGGGTGTCATTCCCAGGGGCCCCTCAGGTCTCAGCCTCAACGCCAGCTACGCCAACGCATGCTCGCCTGCCTTCCAGGTCCGTCCATGTGTAAGCGTCCTTCCTTCCGCCTGTTTCGCCTCTTTCCGTGTGCATGGGGCCTGTTTCGCCAGGATGCTCTATAGAGAAAGCTCAGAACAGGCGAGATGGAGCCCCCATTCTGGTTCTGAGCTTTCTCTAACGCGCATTCTGCAGCAAACGGACCCATTCGTCCGCCCGTCCGTCCATCCATACATCCCATAATGCACAAAACGGGCTTTTGAGTCTTCAACTCCACTGCTCCAATGGGCCTTGCACACATCTCCCTCCCTCTGTCCTTCCATTTATTCCCCAACGCCCCTTAATCCGCGCACGCCGGTCACGGCAAGTTAGCAGAGGCGGTGCTGCCGAGCCTGGCAGCTTCTTGCCTGTCCTCTTCACAAATCATGCGGCGCAGGCAGTAATAGAGATTTCTCTGGATCCATGCAACCTTTCATCGCCACCACCCCACCCCACCCCACCCCACCCCACCCCACCACACCACACCCTTTCACCCCCACGCTCTCCAGGACGAGTTGGCAGAGGCGCTGCTGCCGATACTAGCAGCGACGCCAGGGGGGGTGCTGCTGTTCCTGCCGTCCTTCTGGCTGCTCGACGCCCTCTGTGCTCGCTGGAAGGCCACCCCCGCATGGCACCGCCTCTCCTCCCTCAAAAAGATCTTCACCGGTCAGTTTTTCGCATTCCCGTCGGTAATTTTTGTTGGTTTTCCTAAGCCAGTTCCATCAGTCTCAGGCCTTCTCCAAGTTGATCACAAAGCCTCACACGCTCATCCACCCTTACCCTCTTTCTCAACTCAAATATTAACATCAACCTCACTGTAGAACAGTCTAGCTTGATTACACATCCGTACTGTGGTTGAAGTTGTGTGCGGAGGTAGGAGAGGCCAGGGGGAGCATGTAGAGCAGAGCAGAGAATTTGCTGGTGCCACCTCCTGTGGTGGGTTTCTGGTGATGGTATTGTGGTTTGCAGATTGCAGATTGCAGGTTGTTGTTCCTTATATCTTCAGATGCGCCTCAAAGCTCTGCCATCTCACAGCACTTGAGCTTCTCATGTGGTCATTCTTGAATGGTCCGCCTCGCTGCCGCTCTTTCTCTTTCTCTCTCACACACAGAGCCCAGGGGAGTGGAGAAGCTAGAGGGAGTGTTAACGCGGTACAGGCGGGAGGTGACTTTTGAGTCCACTCAAAACTCACCTCTTTATCCTGCTGCCACTCTCGTTTTCTCGCCCTCTCTCACACACAGAGCCCAGGGGAGTGGAGAAGCTAGAGGGAGTGTTAACGCGGTACAGGCGGGAGGTGCAGCAGAGTGCGACCAAGCCATGGACCCCCCTGGCAATACCACAGCGCTCTGCTGGAACAGCAGAAGCAGCCGCACGAACGGAGTCATCTGGTGCAGCAGCTGAGACATCGGATGCAGAAGAGGGAGGGAAGGGGAGGGGGGTGCGATGGAGAGCGGGTGGGGCTGTGGGGGGAAAGGCAGAGGAAGCAATGGAGCCATGCTGATGGCCGTGTGCCGTGGGAAGGTGAGATGTCGGTGTGATGTAGAGATGTAGGAGGGTGTGGTGGGGAAGGTAAGACAGAAAAGGCGAGCAGTTCCCTTGTTAAGATTGTAATGGTTAGTAGTGAACCAGTTTCACCAGCTTTTGAGGCGCCTCAAAAATTGTAATGGTTAGTAGTGAACCAGTTTCACCACCTTGTTTTAGTTTCTGAGAATGCAGCTTCAACACCACTCCACTCTTCCACCTCCCCCTCCTCTCCTTTAATCATTTCCTTTTCTTCCTGTTTCGCTCACGCAGGCATCAGAAGGAATTGACTTCGCAGATGACTCGGCACGTGCTGTGGTGAGTGTGAGGTCACCCACCCGCTAAGCTCACCCAACCCAACCATGCACACTGCCGCAGCACTCAATCCATTACAGTCTTATCGAATTCACCCATTCACCTCGCAAACAGACACCGATCACAGGATTGCAACCCTCTTCAGCAGCTCACCATTTTACTGCCCCTACACCTTCGCAATTGTAATCTTCCTGTTTTGAAATGTCAACTACCTACCGACGATTTCCGATTTTTGCCCCTCATGAATTGGATGCTCAAAGCTCAAGAGCCAGTACTATCACTTCTCTCAGGCATTATCCGTCCTGTCTGAATTGAATGCCCTTGCAGGTGGTGGTCGGTATTCCATTCCCCAACATGTGAGACCCTTCCCCCACTTCCCTCTTCTCTCCCTTCTCCTCTCCGCCTCTTCCTCCCCCTCTCCCACTCCTCGTCTTCATCTCCCTTCTCCTGTCCCCTCCTCCTCTCCCTCCTCTTCCGTCTCCTTTCTCCCACTGTTTCTCATCCTCTTGCTCCCCTCCTCCTCTCCCTTCTCTTCCGTCTCCTCTCTCCCCCTATTTCTCATCCTTTTCCTCCCCTCCTCCTCTGCCTTCGTCTGCCCGCTTTCCCGCTTCAGCCCCATCTCTCTCATCTCGTGCTTGACATGTTTACAGTTGTTGACACTCATGGTCGAGAAGAAATTAGTGTGTAGGATCTCGTTTACACAAAATCGAACAAGAATACAAAAAAGAATCTCTGTCACATCCATCCACTGTCTTTTGCTTTTGCACCAGATTCAAACGCAGAGTAGCACATTTCCGCCATGCCTTCCACTCCATCCTTCATCCTCCCACCCATTCCCCTTTCTTCCCTCCAGTAAGTGTCTTCAAGTCACACTGAAGAAGGCTTACAACAACCAGGCAGCAGCACAGCCACTGTCACCACCTCCACAACCCTTTCCCCATTGGGAAGGGTCCAACAACCATCACCAGCAGCAGCCACGCTCGCAGCGCCTCAACGGTGACCAGTGGTACCGGCAAAACGCGTTCCGTGCTCTCAACCAGGCAATAGGTAACCTCCCTCCCCTTCTCAATTGGGCCTTGTTTGTGCTGCTCGCTCTTCCTTCAGCTCAAGACCAAGGACGTGACGTGCCTACCCTCTTCTCTTCTTGTCAAAGTGTTTTGTTTGTTTGTTTGTTTGTTTGTTTTTTTTTTTCTAATCCTCAATTCCTTCTCGATGCCCGATTCCATTCTGATCACGGCAGGGCGATGCATCCGCCATCGGTTTGATTATGGTGCAATCATTCTGCTGGGTACGTTACGCTCCGCTATTCCGCACTGCCATCCACTCGCCCCTCTCCCTCCCCCCCCCCTGCCTGCTCGGCAACACAGCAGGCTTGTATTAGCTGTCTGAAGATTAGACCTTCTGCTGAC